CACTTGATATGTGTGTCGGAATCTTCTAAAAAAAAAACGTATCCCTTCCTTTTCTAAATCAGGTTGCTACTCAAATATGATATGCTCAAATTAAATTTGTTGGCTCCTAATGGATTTTTGCTTGGCCCAATTACAGTAGACGCCATGCGGCTCTTTCTTCGCATCTAGATTTTCATTCACTTCGACAATTTTGATCTTCCGTAATCCTAGCGAGCTCTTCTTTTATTTGCACCACTAATTCGCAAGCAAGGAAAGAACACAACGTGTAGAAGAAGAGCGAAGCGACTCGCTAGGTAACATGCATGCGCGACAAAAGTACGGAACTTTGGTATCCAACACTGAAGACGGCATCCTACGCAAAAATATCGCCAGTCATTCTTGATTTTTGCTTAAAAACGTGATCTCTGTATTTGATGAGTTGCTTAAAAACGCGGCCTCCGCGTACCTAAGAATCCTCTCTGCAGGAGCTTGTTTTCCCTCCATCTTCCCTTCTCTTTGTAAAATTCATTGTTATTGCATAGACGAGGAGAAAGAATAAAATGCTACTAATTGAATTTCACTGTTATAAAGCTTGTGCACTATTTACAGTTTTACAGGTACTTGCATGCACTGCCTTTCGCCTTTCGTTTTTCTTAATGAAAGTATGACGAAATGGCAACAAAGTGGAACTTTTGAACAGCAGAGAGATGAGTAACTATCGCACGCATATTTCCAGTGGGTCTTATGCGCTAAAATAAATAGTAGATTTGCATAAATAAATTCTACAAAACAAGAGGCACATGTCTGCTTATGGGCAAACAAAACGGGGCGGCATCATGTAGACCTGCAAAAATGAGCAAGCTAAAGCACTGCATTTGTTAAGGCTCCCGAATGGTCCATTTAAATAACTCAGGAAGCAATATTTATTACCAAGTCCAGCTGTTCGGCACATAATATTGTGAATTCGGGGAAATTATCGAGCCTGTAGACGTGAAACAGTTGCTGTTTGGTGTAAACGGACCCGGAAGAGCGTTGCCCGAAAGATAGGCACCGGAAACAAAGTCCGCGGGACAGGGTTTTCCGTCATGTACCAACATTTGAACTGGGATACGCTTCGATTGCGGGAAGCCAGTAGATCCCAATGGCACAGCGCTGTGGATCAGAGTACCGTTCAAGCTCTTGTCCTGATAAGTTTTTTTTGTCTTGTACCTGAAATCGGAGCTGATGGATTTCTCGGAAAAATCATCAAAAATACAAGTGTCGAATGTGTCAAACGCTGATAAAAGTAATGAAATTTAAAATTGAAACGCTTGCGAAACGTGTGGTCACGCTACAGAACAATAATCTATAAGTGAGATTCTGAATACTGCGACCACTCGGCGCTTCATCTGTGGAGCTTGCCAGTAACAGCTAGGAGCAGTAGCCCGCTGAGAGGCTGTGCGCGGGATGTTTCATTTCGCTAGTTTAGGCACTTTCAGTGATACTGATAGATTACCTATGATTCTGGAACCATATTTTCACTTGCGTGGGTGTTAGGCGGATCTGCATCGCTAGTTGCTCACGTTCTGGTGCTGACAGGTACCTCTGAGTGCGGAACCTTCGCTCCAGCTCAAACGTCTGTGCTTTCGTAAACAGCACCCGACGCTTACGCCGCTTCTTTTTTATCCCATCGTCTAAAAATAAAAGTTGTGATATAACAAAAAGTTAAAAAAATAAAAAGAAATTTATCTTACTTCTCATCTGGAATTTTACGCAGCACCACAGAATTCCCTTCACATTTGTGCTTTAAAGTGGATGGTGGAACTGCGGAACAAAAAACGTTACTGAACAGTAGATGGCCCCTAAAAATGGTAGCTTTAGCAATAATTTGGCTCTAAATTTGCCACAAAAGGGTCGGGCTTCGCTAGGATTCCTCCAAATTAGTCAGGAGGAAAAAGTACAGTGTGGGCATATTGCTTCCCGACTGAATCCTGAATGTACCACAGAGGCCCATGTCCCCTTGTACTATTAGTTTTGTATAGGAACCTTTCCAGGGCCCAGCAAGTAATATACAGATTCTAGAAAAAGGCAAAAAAATTACCCTCATCCACGTTGATCATTTCGCCGTCGTTCTGGTTGTCGACGGCATTTTCGCTATAAAGCAGTTAATTATTCAAATAAAAATAATACGGTGTTTAAAAAAAAAGAGCACATCGACAAGAGCGAATGCAGACTCCGATCGGGAGACTTCGCATAACGAAATAAGGCATTTTTTTTCTTTTTTTTTGATTGATGAGATTTTCCATTTTAGAAGAGGTAACAACAGCAATACTTGTCCGTTCTCCAGCAAAATATGTTTTTAAAGGACCCGTTTTCTATTAGCAAAACTACTGTAGTCCCTTACTGTTAGGGTTGTTCATTAGTTCAAATCCAAGAAGAAACGCTACTCAGTTCATCTTCAGAGTGCCAAACTCTCAGTAATTCCTGGAATTTTGCAAGCCTAAGATAAGCAATTTTGTGCAGAAAGTGAAAAGAAAAACAGCTCCATTTTGCCTCAAAGCTGCTGAAACTCGTATAGAAAAGAAAGCAAAAAAATGAGCCTGAAAGTGTAATTGAACAAAATATCATCAAAATTCATAGTGATAGTACTAAATTGCCGAAAAATGCTTGGATGAATGTGTTAGGAACTTGACACGCCCAACACAAGCAGAGTTTAATACAACGTTGTTCTGGTCAAGAAACGCTATTTTACACAGGTAGATTCCGCCTAATTCGGGATCCTTTAAAAACGAAGTTCTGCCTTCCTCCTTCAAACATTTATACGCTATTGAATGGAGCCGCAGATAGTTTGCCCAAACTAGTATGGTGTAGCTCAAATAGGGTAGAACACCGAATCGAACAAAACTGTTATTTTGTTTCAAATATTCCAGAGCAGAGTAGATGTAAAATATACCTGTTTTTATTGGCACTGTTGATGTCCTCATTTTCAGATTTGTTGCAGGGTGAGGAGTCCGACACTAATGGAGGTTCGAAATCCTTATCC